AGAATACATCGTTACGTTCGTCATCACACGGCATTCGATGAATATTCAATCTTTGTTGATGAGTGAGCGAAATATTCAAATGGAAGGTTGGTACAAACGCTTCATTAGTCTCACGATCGTTGAACATACTGTGAGTCTCCAGTCTTTAATGACAAGTGAGCGAAATATCCAAATAGAATATTCGTAAGAGTTTTTCGTTAGCTTTATGATCGTCGAACATGTAATGAGTGTTCACTATTGGTTGTAAGGTGAGCTGAATATTCAGACAGAAGATTGTTAAGAACCGTTCGGGAGTTTCACTACCGCTGAACAACGCATGAATCTCATAATTCTAATGCAATATGACTTGAATATTCAAATAGAAGATTGATAACAACTCTTCGTTAGTTTCATGATAGCTTAGTGTCGGGTGACTCTTCAATATCAGATGCGAGACGAGCTGAACATCCAGATAGAAATGTCATCGGGACGTTTCGTTAATTTCGCAATCGGTGAACATCTTCTGAATTTTTATTCTCTAATAAGAGATGAGCTAAATATTGAGATAAATGATTGCTAAGAACTTTTCGTTACATTCGTGACAGCTGAACTTTTGATTCATCACTCATGTCTCACATGAAGTGAGCTAAATATTCAAATAGAATTTTGTTCAGAACTTTTCGCTAATTTGATGATGGCTCGGCGTCGAGTAGCTCTTCCCGATTCGACGTGAGATGAGCTTAATACCCAGATAAAAGTTTGTTAAGAACAATTCGTTAGTTTCATGATCGATGGACAACTGATGAATTTTTTTTATTTGATTCAAGGAGATCTGAATATTCAGAGAGAAGGTTAATAAGATTTATTCGTTCATTTCGTGATGGATTAATTTCTGATGAACCTTGGATCTCTGATGAGAAGTAAGCTAAATATTCAGATAGAATATTGATGAGAATTCTTCGTTAGTTTCATGATCACTGAGCATATAATGAATCTTCAATCTATCATGATATACACGCTAAATATTCAGACCCCACTTTGATGAGAACTTTTCATTAGTTTTATGGTCGATGAACGTAAGATGAGTGTTTAATATCTAATGGAAGGTGATCTTGTTATTCATATAAAATCTTGGTACAGACTTTTCGTTGATCTCATGAGTGACAAACATCTGAGTAATCTCCAATCTGTGATGAGAAGTGGGTTAAATATTCAAATAAACGATTGCTAAGAACCTTTCGTTATTTCTATCATGAATGAACATTTGATGAATCCTCACTATTAAATGACAAGACAACCTAATATTCAGATAAAAAGTTCTTAAGAACCTTTCTTTAGTTTCATGGATGATAAACAGTTGTTAAATATTCAATGTCAGATGATGAATGAGTTAAATATTTAGACAAAGTGTTTTTAATACCTATTCGTTTATATGATAATGGGTGAATTATCAGAAAGTTTCCAATCTCTAAGAGAATTTGAATTGAGTATTCAAACAGAAGATTTATAAGAAGCCTTCATGAGTTTTATATTTAATGAAAATTTGGTCATTTTTCAATCTTTGATGATAGGTGATCTACATACGTGCACAGAATGTTGATAACACCTATTCGTTTATTTGATGATGAATGAGTGTCCAAGGAATCTACAAACTCTGAGAGATAGAGACCTAAATATTCAGAAAGAACAATAATAAGAACTTTCCGTCAGTTTTATCATCGATGGTCAGTTCTTAAATTTTCGATATTTGATGCAACATGAGCTAAATATTTAGACAGAATGTTGGTTAAAGTTGTTCGTTAATTTCATCATTAGTGAATCTCAAAGGAATTTTTCTATATCTAACACAATTTGAGCTGAATATACGGACAGAAGATTAATAAGAGCTGTTCGTAAGTTTCATGTTTGGTAAGCATTCGATGAGTCCTGAATCTATTATGAGAAGTGAGCTAGTTATTCACATAGAAAATTGATCAGAACTTTTCCGTAATTTCATGATAGATGCAGATTTGATAGATCGTTAATCTTTTATGAATAGAAAGCTTAATATTGAGATAGAAAGTTCGTAGGAAAGCTTCGGTAGTTTCATAACCATTGAACAATAAATGATTTTTCGAACTCTAACGCACAACGACAGCAATATTCACATCGAAGATTATTAACAACTGTTCGTTAGTTTCATATCCAATTGTCATTGGATGAATCTTTAACATTTGATGCAAGATGTGCTAAATATTGCCACAGACGTTTGTTAAGAATCCTTTGTTAGTTTTATGATCGATGAACGTTTAATAAATCTTCAATCTCTGATGAGAGGTACGTTGGATATTGAGATAAAAGATTATTAAGAGCTTTTATTTAGTGTTATAATCGGTGAACATCTGATGAGTCTTCATTCTCTGATGAAAAGCAAGCAAAATATATGTATAGAACATTGTTGAGCATCTTTCGAAAGTGTCATGTTGGGTGAACATGTAACCAATCCATAATATCTGATGCGGATCGAGCAAAATATTCAGATTGGCAGTTAGTAGGAGCTCTTGATTTGTTTTATGATTGGTGAACATGTAATAATTCTTGAATATCTCATGAGAAATGAACTTAATATTCAGATGAAAAGTTACTAAGAGCTCTTCGTAAATTTCCTGATCGCTGACTATTTTATAACGGTTGAGCGTCTGATGCTGAACGTGCTAAATATTCATATAGAGGAGTTTTAAGAATAGTTCATCGGTTTTATGATCTTTGGAAATATTATAAATACCTAGATCGTCGTGATAGCGTGCCATATCATTGAATAGTAAGTTTGTTGAGGCTATCTGATCTCGGTGTCATTTAGAGTCGTGTTCAAATTTGAATACGGCTATGTCAGAAACAGAGGAATACATGAACAGAGTATTGAAGCTACAAAAGGGTAAGTCAAGTTGTTATCAATAACTATACCGTATCTCATTCGTAGAGAACTGTATAGTTGCTTTATATTGAAATTATTCCTTTTTTTTTTTTTTTTACAGAAAATAAAATCTGGCCCTGGCATGAAAATCGTTGCCACGAATCAATATCTTTATCAAAAGACTTACTTTTTTTTACCTAAACTGTCAATTTTTTCGTATTATATTTCATTTTCTTCTGTTTGAAATAAATATTCTAATACGCTTCAGTTTTGATTGTGATTGTGATATTAACCAATAAATAAAATATCCATGTTGTTCGAAACTTATGCGACAATGTACTTTTAAATACGATTTATATTTGTAATGAACGTAAACGACTAGTAGACGATTGTCATATATAATCATAACTTAGCCTCGAATCAAAATGTTCATTCACATCAAGGTTTTTACATTTCAAATTGAACATCAAATAGAATGATAAATATAGATAAAAAAATTAGTTGTCTGTTTTTATTTTTTATATTTATCTTAGTTTGGGATATAAATTTATCTTTATAGTATGAAATAAATATAAAAACAAATTTGTATGTTTAAAATAAAGATAGATAAATAAATAAATCTTTAATTTTACAAAAGAAAAAGATAATATAACGAATAGCAAAAAGACTTTTTTATGTGGTTCTTAAATACACAAATACCTAGCATAACACAAGATGTGTTAATCAATGTTCTTTCTTATCACATACAACACTTACATATATAATGCTGTCAAAAAAATGAAGATGATGCATACCACAGCAGGCGGAAAAACTTGGACTGCGCTATAAGATGATTACTATGCCATGTTGCCGTTAGAGTGACTTAAAGCGAATGATGATTTTCAACAACGAGATGGTTCTGTGAAAAATCGAAGAGTTTCCAGTATCAAAACAGATGCTAATTTTCAGATGTTCGATCAAGATGGAAACAACGAACTTCAAATCCAGAGATTTCACGAGATTTCATAAGACTCCAGAACCCCTTAGAGTATCTTTGAGTCCATGTAATCTTATAAACGCCTTTTTTTCTCTCTTTCACACGTTACTAATCAAGAAATAAAGATATTAACCTTTAAAAAATGATCCGAGTAAGTTGCCAAAGCAGCACATGAGATTTATGCTGTCTGTTCAAACGCAATACGATCATCTAAAAGTTAGGTTTTGGGAAAGTTTTCTAACCAGTTGCTGGTTTTCTGGCATGTGTCCCAAGCAGGAACATAGTTCATTTCCGAATTCTAGACGAAAAGGATAAAACATTCTCATAAGAAAAAGTATGATTTTTTCATGGTCAAAATCGTGTAAAATATCGGTCCTTTTAGAGTTGTTGCTTTTTTTTATCATTCATTTTCTATTGCATCAATATCAATAACTCGATGTCTGCCATTATCCATATTCTATCACGACCAAAAGGCGAAGCATGAAATAATTTTTACTATACCATCGCACGAATGCACAACAATGTGTTGTGTTCTTTTTAACAAACTTGATTCGTAACTCTACCTACTTTCAAAATCACAACACGTCACTGCGAATCTTCACGTAGAAAATTAAATTCGTTTATTGAACACACCATATAAAAAGTGTTCTGATCAGTCAATTCATTTCAGTGCTGATTGTGGATGTAGATAAAGAGAAGACGCAAACTCACATACATACCTACATCGAAATCCATGCTCACACCCTTGTATTCGTATTAACAATAACATTATGTAATACAATACTAAGAAGACTTGCCTAATTTTTATGCAAAAATTTAAAAACACTATCTACTGGTATATGTTTATGATACAATAAAGTATCTGTAATACATTGAATAATATTTTTATTAAAGTATAAACGCGGACACTTCAATCATCGCTATAGTGATAATTAATGTTTTTTTTTTTCTAAGTGTTTTACGTGAAAAAAAAGTATTTATTATTTAGATTTTAATGTTTCATACATAAATTAACTAGTGACAGAAGAAAGTTTCAGTCTAGGTTTTAGATTGAATCCACCACCAGTGAAACGAGGTTGATCACTAAAAAATTATTCGATTTCAATCATTGTCAATCACAGAAAAAAAAAAAGATTGCACTTTGAAAACTTACTATGATCGCATTGGTTTCATATGATACGGCATTAGTTGTTGCGATGTTATACCATCATTGATTGCTGTAAGTTGATGTGATTCAGCAAGAGGTTTTCTTTCCTTTTCCATAGATTCTTTTTTCTTCTGTAGTAAATATTTCTGTCGTAATTCGGCTAATTGTCGATTTAGTTTATTAACTTCATTTTTAAATTCATCTATTTGACTTTCATACATATTGACTTCACCAATCAATGATTTAAGTTGTCTTGTGTTAGCTTTAAGAGTTTCTTGATATACGGATAATTGTTTAGTAACTTCCGCATCTGATTGACGAGCTAAATGTGGAAAGAAGAAGGATTATCCCTTTGCGATTGAAAATATAGTGTCTAATGAGTTATCGTATGTACGAAAGGAAGAAATTGAAGATATATATATATAACAATCGCAATTATACAAATGAAATCGATATTTATACTATTTTTGTAAATAAAACCGGAGGAATATCAACTTTTGAAAAGATCAGACAGCTAACAATACGATTAGTATAACCTAATTATGAAAGTAGAATAGTAAGTGACATAATACGTATTCCAACTATTTCTTTACTTTTTATTTATTATTTTGTCCACAAATACACTTAAATGAAATCAAGAAAAGCTAAAGCCCTTAGTAATTATGTGCTATTGATCACATATTCAAACTATTGTAGTGATTTTTCGACTTGTAGCATGATATTTTTGAGAAAATTATATGACATAGTTTCGACCTGAATTTGACCTTAAAGATAAATTTAGACACAACTATTATCTTCTAATCTTGTCAAAAAAATAACAAATATCAATGTCTTAAAATATAGAATTTTGAGAAGAAAAAAGCTGCTTGTTTGTGCGAAGACACAATGGTAGAGTCGTTTGAAAAAAAAAATCTCTCTTTCATCGTATATAAAATATTTTAACTCGATTATATTCTTCTTAAAGTACAAATCATAATCGAACATAAACATTACCTAAAATACGTTTAAGTGCAGCATGTGACATTTCTCTTTCTTGTATTAATAATTCTTTTTGAACAATTTCTTCTGTTTTTTGTATTAAACGTTTTTGAAGTAATTGAATTTTTTGTATTAATTCAAATGTTGATGGATCACTACCTTTTAATTTTCTCCAACGATGTATATTTATTGGATTTTGTAATTCTTCTTCTAATGCATGACAACGTGTACGTTCACGTATTAATTCACGTTGACAATGGAATAATTCACGCTTAAGTTCATCGGTATTAGATAATTTATCTAATAGATTAGATTTTTCATGACGTACTTTTTTTAATTCTAATTTTAGTATGCGTATATCTTCAAGACAAGTTTTATATTGAAGTTCGCCACTATTTAAGACAGATTGTTGAATTTTAAGTTTTTCATAGAGAAGTGCCAGTTCATCATTACGACGAACAAGTTGTGAACCAAGAATATTACGTTCAGCAATAACCTATGAAAAGATAAAAATTAATTAATATTGATGATTGATTGTTTTTTTATATTGATTTACTTGTTGTAATTGTTTTATTTGCTTTTCATATTTTTCATTGGCATTTGTCAGTTTTTTATTTAAATTTTCAAATGCAATTTGTTCAATTTTATAAGCTTGTTCTTGTTTCTTCAATTCATTATTTAAGTGTTCGACAGTGAATATTAATTGATTTTTTTCTTTTGTAATATTATCACGTTCATCTTGTGTATGTACTAATGCTTTTTCTCTATCTTGCATTTGATCTTTTAATTGATCTACTTGATGACTTGTCATTTTTAATTTACGTTTCTTGTCATCAATTTCATCTCGATATTCAGTCGAATTTTTTAAATACAAACTACGTTCAAATACCATTGTTTCATTCAATTTTTGTATTTCTTTTAATTGAGATTGTAATTCCTTTATTTTTTGCTTGGGTCCAGATGATTCGGATTCTCTCTTTTTGACTTCGTCCATTAGTAGGACAACTTCATTTGTTAAGTTAGAAGCATCATTTATGTAACTAGTTTGACAAAAAAAAAAACAAATCTTCGAAGTAAAAAAATCAAACTTCTACTCCATGGATTATTGGAACAGAGAACTTGTTTTTCGAACGTTAGGAGACTTTCTGGGTTAAGATTTCGATTGAACTACATGTTGTCAATAGATATATCGAAATAAATATGTTGCCTTAGATACGTATAATACAGTACAAGAAAAGCCTGGTGACAACTATTTTGCCTACACGAGTGAAAGCGTAATCACGACGACTTTTGTTTTTTTACTCAATTTGTTTAGGTTAATATTTTTCGATATGAATGTTGCTAATATATTATGTATTTATTGAAGACTTCCATTTTATATGTCGAACTAAACTTGATTTCCAGAATTTTGAAGAAAGATTTTCTATATAAAACTGTAATGATTTTCTACAAGTCGAGTTTTGACATTTACATCTGTTAGTTTTCTTGCCAACATTTTAATAGTCTTGCTGTTAATTTAAGCCTAAAAAGCGAGCTAATTGTTGCAAAAGAAAAGTGATAAATTCTACTAGTATTGAAATAGGCACATATAACGGGTAGAGATAATTAGTTCATATCTTTTTCTTCTATTGAAGTTCCAAGTATGAGTGAATTTTTGTTCAATCAGATTTTTCTATATATATGTTTTTTTTGAACGGAGAAAATAAGGATTTAGTATTATGTCAATTTACTTTTTCAATGTAAGTTTTAGTCTGAATGCTAGTAAAATGTTTCTAAGAGAATTGATGGAAATTAAATAATTTCAAAAACCTATTCAATAAAACTTTACATACAGGTGTCATATTTCATTTAAAATCGAGCGGAATTCCGTAATTTTCTTGACTTCAGAGTTGTAGAGATTGTCTCAGAAGTCATAAATAGACAACCAATAAGGTAGAACTATAGTCTATTTCAATGTATCGGGCTAAACCTAAAAAAAACATTTCATATACCGACAACTTAGAAACTTCTACTAGATCGTACCGGTCAATCGCTGTTGCCAGTTACTAGTTTGGTCAATGCGTCGGTGGTAAGATTACATATAAAAACGAAATCGATCGATTTCATGAAATACTTAAGGAAACACTCAACAGTTCAATCGGCTAATATGTGTTTCTTCTTTTTTTAAAACCAATTTATATTCTTTTGTCATCTATTGAAAATACCACACTCATCCTATTGTGAACTTCGCAATTTTAAAACTAGAATATTCGTATTTACCGATCTCGTTCTTTTTCGATTTGAAGAATAATTTTTTGTTGTTTCTGTACTTCTTCTTTATAAATTTTAACATCTTGTTCTAAAGTTGTTTTTGATTGCTCGACCATTTTCATTTGATCTATTTGTTTTCGATTATTAGTTATTAATTTTTGGCATGTTTTATTTAATGTTTCACGTTCGCGAATTAATGTATCAAATTGTTGACGATTTTCATTTTTTTGTTTTTTATACAGCATTATTTCTTGTTCTAATGATAATATTGTTAAACGTAAGCGTTCTCGTTGTTGTTCAATTCCACCAATTTGATCTCTAACTTGTTGTAAATTTTTGTTTAGTTGATCTTTTTTCTTTTGATCATTATCATGTTCTTTTCGTAATTGTACAAGTTCAGCATCTTTTTCTTTCAATTGAAATACATAATTTGCACAATCATTAGTCAATCTTTCATTTCTCATAGTATATTTACTGGACTCCATATGAGCATTATCAATTTGTACTTGAAGAACATCATTATTTTTTGTTAAACGAACATTATCTTCCTCTAATTTTCTAACATTTTTTTTAATCTTTTCAAATTCTTTTTTTCGATTTTCAAGTTGTATTTTTTGAGCTTCAAATTCAGCATTTTTCTTTTCGAAATTGGATTTGCTGGTTTGAAGTTCATATTCTATTTGTGTCTAAAAAAAAAATAATGAATAAATTTAATTATAACATAATCAACAATAAATAAAACAAACTCGTTTTTTTGATTCTTTGATATTTTCATTTTTTTCTCGAATAATTTTTTCCTCTAAATTAATTATTTGTTCTTTGGCTTCATGAATTTGTCTTTTTTGATCATGGTCTTTCAACGCATTTTCATCAAGTTCATGACGTAATTGGGTTATTTCATTTACTAATTTATCGCGTTCTTGAATTAAATCATTATAAATTTGCTTAAATTCATTTACATCATGTTCATCATTCATGATAATTCCTAAAGAAAGAAGTTTTGTAATAAAATCTTTATTAAACGCAAAATGTCATTATTTGTTGGTTTTAAATCACACGACATCCTTATCTACTATTTGGCCTTCACAATTGATAAGATATATTCTTTCTTTTTTTCTTTTTTTTTTTTGACTGCAAACCATAGTGTCATTACATGTAAAAAACTTAAAAATGAAAGCTGTACACATTTGCATTACTTGCCCAAATAAATCAATACTATTCGTTGGCGTCCCATAAATCCAACTAGATTTTACAAAAGTTTTTACATTCTTAAGAGAAAGTTTTTGTATCACTTTCAGTTCCTCTTCGGTCTATTCATATTGTAGAATGTTCCAAAAATTTCAAACTTTTGAATATGTGACCTAGCCGACTTTACTTAATTTCAGCGGAATCTAGCTTTGATGGATGTGGATCTTCTATTCGTTCACAATCACACCAAATACATGATAAAAATTCTACTAAATCTCGGAAGAAAATTAGGAGAATCATCTTCGAAGATATGAAGAGAGACTATCACACATATAAATTGAAGTAAATGGTATATTTGAATTTGATTATCGATCCTATTATATAATGAAAATATTGACAAGAAAATAGAAATCAGTAAGATTTGATGATTCCAATTTGTTAGGTAACTATAATTTAAAAAAAGCTTGATACGCTGAAAATTCAGAAAAGAAATAAGTCAATTCTTAGAAGAAGTGATGAACAAATTTGTGTTTTTAAGGAGAAAACTTTATATTTCTAGATAAATTGTATCATCATTACAAATTGTTTCTTCAAACACAATTGGCAGGTTCTCGTTGTTAATTTTTTGAGTACAACTTTGCGCTGATTTTTCGGCTGCTATTGCAGTTCGAGCAGATAATTCATGTATGTTATGTGTCTTGAACGCCTATCATTTTGATCGTGCCTATGACCCAAGCAGACAAACATTTTCAAAAACGCGTTTAAACGCATAAAAAAGGCTTAAAATCCATAAAAAGTGGACGTGTTTGGCTCACAGTCGCGGTTTCCAAATGTTAGCGAAAAACGACCACTTTTTGCTCTTTTTGTGCGTTTAAACGCGATTTCAGCAAAAACACGCTTGTAAACTCGTATAAACGCATAAAAAGAACGTAAAAAGTTGTCGTCTTTTTCATACTCATAAATCACAATCATAATTACAATCACAGTTCACGAAAAGGAAAAAGATAACTACTTTTTATGTTCTTTTTATGCATTTATACGAGTTTACAAGCGTGTTTTTGCTGAAAACGTGTTTAAACGCACAGAAAAGGCAAAAAGTGGTCGTTTTTCGCTGACAATCGGGAAACGCGATTGTGAGCCAAACATGTCCACTTTTTATGGATTTTAAGCCCTTTTTTATGCGTTTAAACGCGTTTTTGAAAATGTTTGTCTGTTTGGGGAGTACAGCAGTATATTAGTGATAGTGCGTGCATACGTCTAGTATTAATGATTACTCATGTCGTGCAAATCGCGTTATTTTTGGCGCTTAATAGACGATTTTAGAAGAAACTTCAAGAACAAATATTACTTTATCAAAATAAGTGTTTCGTTTTCCTTTTATTTAGACGCTCCAATCATTTCAATGAACTGAGGTGAATAAATTCGGCACCAAGTCCTATTGAACCTGACCGAATTCGACCAGTCAAAAAAATTCGATAAGAATCTAGGTTTCGAAATTACTAACGGATCTAAAAGTTGGATCCCAATTAATATCCAATTATATCGGAATGTCGGATTCCAATAAGATTCCTATATGAAACCTAAAGATGAAACTTTGAGTTTAACGAAAAAGTAAATTAAGGTTAATTACTTCACACTTTATGTTTAGTTTAAATTTTTCAACTCAATACTTAATCCACTTAGATTAGTGATTAAATAATACCCAGATGAATCAATCAGAGATATAGTTTTATGCAAAACCATCGTCTATGAAATCTTACGTCGATTTTCACATTATGCCCGGTACAAGATCTAACAACATGATCTTGTATGATGACAAAAAAAATCTTACTGTAGAATTCCTGTATATTTCATTACTCTCCCAAAACAATTCACAACTTCCGACAGCTCTGTATACAGGAAATGATTAGATAGACTTACTATTGCACCTATATCACTATGTGTGTATTTTTAAATCTTCACTCTTGAACCTTTATTTCCATGGTTAGGCTCCTAAATCTGTCCCAATGAGGTTGAATTCTTATAAATATGTTCTTTTAACCCTTTTCTCATCGTTAGAGCTTTGCTATCCGCTATAATTCAGTTTCTATTCTATTTTCATTGACACCGTTGGATACATATACTCTGCTTTATGCCTTACCTCACTGTTGATCGTCTTGAAGTATTCTATTGTATTTTTTTTTATTCACATACTATTATGTTCTCTTTTTGATTTACGATTATGTACTCATGTCTCTTTATAGCTCTATATCAGTACACAATGTAAGACATCTACATCCTAACTGATGCACATGTAATGTACAAAACTCTTTTCTCTTTGTATATTTATTTATCATTTTGTAACAAGATAAGTATATTTGTCTAGTGTTAATAAGCACAAATAGTTTCAAGCTTAAAGGTTTATGAATTTGAAACAAACGAAGATTAATTGATATATATATATGGTTTCAAACGAATTTAAGCATTTGACCTAATTCTCACGCATTCACACTCCCTTGGCTACATCATTGCAGTGCTGCATTCCTTCACATCTTGCGACAAAATCGAACAATGATAGAGGAAACAAGGACGAAAATTTATTTTTTATTCAATCATAGTCATTCTTTTTTAGACAAGTGGATAACTAGCCAAATCTGCAATGCCACATTGATCTTTCTTGTTTCGACTCATCAAAATGTAACCATCCATACCCCAATTTGTGCCCCAAGAATTTTTTCCTATGTAATAATCTTGCTTCTTTGTACCATTCCTTGCTGTGCCATATCCGACAAGAACCAAAGTGTGATCCAAAGCTGTCGTACATTTGGGTTCATCATACACACCAGACGAATAGAACTGGAAGGATGTCTGAGACGCATCCATTGCGGTCGAAATCGGTCCTACTGTGGCAATAGCTATTGTCAGTGCCGTTTCATTTCCTTTTGGAAGATCAACAAAACCCTATGAGAAAAACGGATGTTCAGAAGGAAACAAAAAAAAACATATAGAGAAACTGACCGTATCAGTAGCGCCCACATTTTCTCGTTTGAAACGACATTTGCCATCCTGCGCTTCGTACGGGTAGCTTGCTTCTGTATCTATACCTTTGTTGTCCTTGATATATTGAAATGAGGCATCCATTAATCCTCCATTGCAGCCCATATTACCATATTTGTAGGAACAATCCATTAGATTCTGTGGTGACAATGCCACCAATTTGCCTGTCTTTATGAAATGTTGTCCTTCAAGCGCTCCTACCGCTGTAAAAGCCCAACACGAACCACATTGCTGTTGATTTCCTACCGGAGTGACAGCACCAGCTTTGCGCCAATCTATCAATAGAAAGAAAAACATTTCTTTGATATTGTCCTCAGAAGAAGAGAGCAAAGTTTATACTGTTATGCGCTACTTTATCACTTTTTTTACGGATGATTTTATTTTCAAATCTACTCCATCAAATATCTGAAAGTGCTCACCAACTGAAGCAGGCAAGTCCACGGGTGCAAGTGAGGGTGGATGATATGTATGCCGATGAAGATTGCTTGATGGCGAGGAGGCTAATTTCAGGTTTAATCCGCCTAGCATCTTTGCTACAAATTCATCGTGTGTCTGTATAATGATCGAAAAAGATATGAAAGATATGAAAAACAAAATTTTCGCAGATGCAAACGTACCATATCAGCAAATTGGTTGATTCTGAGTGTATATGAGTGTAAGCCCTTATTTGCCTCATGATTGTGTTGATCAATCATAGCTGAATTCTTTTGAAACACCGCCAAGCTAGAGAAATCAAAGTTAACATAGCTAACAGATGATTTCACACATTGTGAAACTCTCACCGATATTGTTCCTCCGTAGCACTAGCGTATTGCTTATTGTAAGTATGTTTGAACAAAGTCCATTTTGTCGCTTGAATGCGTGTGTTGAATGTTTGACTGTTGCTGAAAGCGACGAAAACAAACAACAGAAAGCTACTGATAAAATAATGTTGCATGGTTGTATGATATGAGAAAATTGCGTTATGCCTACTTTTAAATATACGAAAGGTAACATCTTTATTGGTAGTTTTCTTATCATCATTATCACGGTGATTATCATTTCACTGCAATTTTGCTTTTTACTTTTTGAAAACTAACCTGACAAGGCAAATTTCATAACAGTTGTAGAATAATTTCTTGCTTATTACAATGTGCTGATCAATATTTTATTGAAAATCGTAAGGAATGTCTTAGATCTCTGACAAATTTCGAGACAAGCAATCTCTTTCAAAAGTTATGACATGGTGTCTATATCGCAAAAACCAATTCGCAAAACTGCTAACCAGCTAAAGACATTTTAGCGAAGGTGCATGTAACTAGACAGGTCAATCACGAAAGCAAAAGGTCAAGGCTAAGCCTATCTCGCTCTAAAAATTAAAAAAATTCAAACTTTGACTGTGACTGAGTGAGACTTGCCATTTCCCTTCCATGACCGATCTTTGTGTACACCTAGCCACATGAGATCAAGCTGAACAGTTAGCAATAAAAGCCTCATAGAGTTTCGAACAGCTTTGATACATGCCTAGACTGGATTTCGAATATTGTTCATTTTTCTGTGCTATTATTAATTAATTCTATTTTTCGGCTTTAACCATGATTTATATCATAAACATGTACCGATGTCATCATCTATTCTCATCTTATTGGCTATTCCTCATCTAATCATATCATATTATTTGTGTCTGGATGTATGGCAACAGCTCGGAATTCTTTATTTTTACTTGATTAGTTGTTTCATTTCGTTGATTCCGATGATTATGACATTTGTGGTA